GTTCACTGGCATGATGTTTGACTTAAAAAAAAACAGGAATAGATTATCACAATATCATTATACATGTTGTATATGTGTTTATTTTGTTATTCTCAGAATGCTGCAGACAGAGAAAAAGCTGCAAAGGGTGGTGGTAAAGAGAGAAGCAAGTCACCTGCCAAAGGAAAAGGTGGAAAGAAGACCCCTGAGCCTCCTTCGGCCAAAGTAGGGAGCAAATTGAGGAAGAGGGGAGAAGAAGACCTGGATAGCAAATATATTGGTTAGATATACTGTTAATTGCCCCATTGCAATCTTTAAAGCAGCTCCTTGTGTATTTTTTGTTGTGAAATTTAGTATATGATCTCTCTCTGAATAAATTTATCTCCTTTGGGCAAATAGCTGCTAACTCCCTCTCAAAGTAGACACCATTCACTTGACCATGGTAATATGTTTTATATTCACTTTAATGGCAAGATGTAAGCTAAGATGCCTCTGTTATCAGGTCTGATCTTGAGTTCCTAATTCTTAATGGGTTTCCCACCTATAATTTTATGTCGTATGGGGTCATCAGATACATGCAGGTTTTCTCTTCTAAGATTCTAATCAACCAAAGAGTTCAGATATTAGAGCTTTTCACCTGTCCCATTTTTCTGGTTAATTTGACATTCGTTGTGGTTTGAGAAGAGCTCAGTTTGTACAACATTTGTTCTGCTTATAAGGGTAAAAGACTTAAATATAAAAAGCTGTTTCTCATGGGGTGCAACCAAAGAAGGTCTAAAGACCATCTTTGGTTCAGGCCTTCTCACCCGACACCCTAATTATAACTATTGACCACAAATGCCAATCAAATGCCATGAAGCTTACTTTAACTATGTGCACGCTTTTTACAGAATGTCAACCTTCTACCAGACAAAATTACTTGCATGTTAACTCCCATCTGTAGTTTGTCTTGGTGTCAGACCTTCAATTACACTCTTTCACTTCAGACGATGAGCCTGATGATGGTCCCCAACACTACATCTTTGTGTATGGTTTTAACCACCCTCACCTGCCAGTCTTTATGTCTGACCTGGGCCTTAACATAGATGCCATTGTTAAGATCCAATCAGAAGACTACAGCAGATATGCCACGCCCCCTCCGGCACCACTTCCTGAGGGGGAGGTACCACCAGAGAAAGATGAGAAAACACTTGGTATGTAGAAATTTTTAAAAAATGTAAATGATTTTCAAAAATGTATGAGTAGCAGCAGTCATTTTAGTGGTTCCTGGATGTGAAAGTCACTAGATACAATTTGATTGCAATCAACTAAGTGAATAGGTCATGCATGGCTAATGCTTGCTATGCCTGAAAACAAGTAATGAAAACTGATCTTTAAAAAATTGATAATTTAGATCTAACACATTTAGGTCCAATTTAAAAAAATTGAATGTTTCGTCTTCATGTCTTAGCTCTTGAAGAAGAAGCTCTGCAAAAGAAACTGAAAAAGCAGAAAGAGCTAAAAAAATTCTGGAGAGATATTCTTCCTATCATGCAAAACCAACCCCACAACTCCAAGCTCCATGATGTAGCAAGACTTGAATACACTGTGAAAGAAGCCATTATACCTGATAACTTAGAGGATAATGAGAAAAAGGTATGAAATGATCTGATTAGGTCTTTTATAATTCTTATTCATATAAACATGTAACACGCCCATTTTATCACATTTCCTCACATTCAACGTGAAGTACAAAAATTCCAAATATAACATACATTAAACAGGTGGAGAGTTATTACCTTAAATTATTATAACTGTTACTGTTAAAATGTTTTTTCTTTTCTTTTTTAACAATTGCTCACTTATGTTACTCGAGTCTGTGATTATAATCTAAATTTGTTAATTTTTTTGGTAAACAGTTTGATAGACAGTTTGTTATATATCAATGCAATTTCCAAACTGTTCTTCATTTTTATGTTTCAGACCAATTTTGGTACACTCTTATTTGAGGATCTTGCCTGCATGGCTTATGACCTACTTGATGCCAAAAGGCTTTATCAGACATACCTCACCAACATGAACTTGTTACGTATACCTGTCTATGGTGAGGCTCCACCTGCACAGCCACCGCCAGGTAAATTGCATAGTTCTATATATATCTTTAGCAGAGTTACATATTTTATAAAACTTTTGATAGGTAGCTTGCTTAGATGTCATAACTTGCCATATATCTTTTCAGATGGTACAATTGAATGTTTACTCTTGATCGTGTTAAATTGCAATATTAATCAGATTCGATTGTAAATGGTTTTTTAGTGTGTTTATTTTTGTTCAAGTAACGCCAACTTTCAATGGAAAATAAATAAATAAAAGAAGATAAATAATCAAGATAGATAAATGTATAAGAGAAAGACAGAAAAGACAAAAGATTGACTTTTTGTAAAATCAGTTAACAATTCACAACAAGCCATAAAAACATTTTTAATTCATTCAATTGTATAATAGAGGGTGGTGCACCCCCAGCGGCCCCAACTCCTACACCCCAAGGTGGAGCTCCTGCAGCCCAGCCACCAGAGGGAGCACCCAGTGGAGCTCCAGTTCCTCAAGAGGTGGACATGAGGTACTACAATGACCTGATGAATTCTGTCCCCCAGGAAAGTGTCAGCGTGCCACTGATAATGAACTGCATGCTGGAGCAGATCCAGGCCACAGAGACGGAGAAAGAACCTCCCAGTGAAACCCCTCTCCCCACAAGACCTGATGGCCTGGACAACCAGCTGGCTGCTCACATCAGTGGAATTGCCTTTAAATTGTCTTTGTCTAAAGAGGAACAACAGGTAATGGTTTCATATTATTTAGTTTAAGATGTCTAATTTTGTTTGTCATGGTGAGGTAAAATAGAACTGTGATTTGACTGTGTGTACTGCAGTGCATCGCTACAAATCAGTTTTGAAGGATTCTATTTTTGTTGGCACTTTACATGGAATTGGGGGAAATCTCTCCTCTAACCTTCCATTTATTTTTAAACTAAGTACTTAACATAGATATTCGTTTCATTTTAATTCAAGCTTTTGGCTGATGAGTTTGATGAGCCTGAGAAGAAACCTGAAGTCTTTAAAGGTCCCCTACTCCTAAACCACAGTGATCTTCTGTCTGAGCGCACACACCACCTGCGCTCCATCAATGGGTTCAACCCCAAGGAAGCTGAGCTCGACATGCTGCAGTATTTGCCATTTGCCAAGCTGGCAAATTTTGAACAGCCCTCCAATAAAGTAGCAAAGGAAAGAGCAGCGCGGCTTCAGGAGTTGATCCATTTTTGTGCAACTGAAGGACTGACACCTTCAGGTAAAAGTCTGCTGTTTAGCCTTACAAGTGCACTATTGCTGGAGCTCAAAAATGTATATAGAAAAAAGTGCTTAAAAAGAGCTGTATTCCATTTAAAAATACAGATAGTCGTTTAAAATACAGTATTACTTTAAGCAAGAACTCAAATGTATATATTGAATAAAAGAAAAAATATTTTTTAAATCTGCAACAAAAACAAAATATCATACCTTTTTTATAATCAATAATCACTATTCTGTACTACCAATTTTTTTTTTTTTTTTGATGCCATCAAACATTTTTCAATCCTTTGTGTCACCATTTAAAAATTGTTTTAAGTTCCAATGGTAACACTGTGACTTACTTTAGTAAAACATACATGTATATCATTTTTTTAGAAATTGACCGTGCTTTCAAGCAGTTTGTGTTTGAGTGTATGGACTTGATAGAGACAGAGGAGACTGGGATGGTAGGGGCTATCCCACTGTTCCACACTGCTGTACCATGGGACGACCCTTACCCATTCTTTAAGGGAATGATTCCTATGGGGGAGAAAGTGGAGGAAAAAATTGAAGCTCTGAAAGAAGCTTTGTCTGAGAATTCTCTGGAAGATGAAATCAACTCAGGTACAGAGGTGGTTGGCATGATGTTATGTGTGTGTGGCTTAGGGATAGGTTTGCACACTTTCTGCAGGTAGAAAATGTCTAGTATGGCATTAGATAGAATCATACTAGCTCTTTTGGCATATGTATCACTTCTACCGGTAGCTTGCTTTTTATTGTACCACTGGGAGTTTTCTGCAGTGTTTTCTTAAATGCTTAATAGTTGAAATATCCTTAAACAGTTGTTTTCTCATAATGATAGAATTTAATGAATTTGACATTTTTTCTTGGATTTTCTTTCTTGGTGCACGGACAACTTTCATCATCAGTTTTAATGAGTCTTGTGTGTTCTGCACTTTGCTTTATTGCATTCTTTTCTCCTCATTACCTGTCTCCTCTGTAGATGTGTTAGAACCAGAGCTTTTGCCTTCTTCTTATGATGTGGATGGAATTCTCAGCCCCTATCCCCGTCCTCTCTCACCAACACCTAGCACTCTTGACTTAGACTTTAGTAAGTCACCCTCACCTTCTGATGTGGAATTCTGTTTTGTTCACTCTTCACTGTAATGCAGTTATTTATAGAGACACACATGAAAATACTCGCTTATTTCTCTTTTTTATTTTTATTTGTTATGTTTTGGGGGCAGGGGGGGTAAATTCTCTTCATTTGACTTCTGATGGGAACTTAAAAATGTTTTTTTTATTAAAACTCATCATTTGTTTTTTACTGACTTCTGAATAACATGGAACATATTTTGAAACAGTAATAGATTGTATTAAGAACACATTTTATCAAATATATCAAATTTGTATTTTTTTTTACCAATTGTTAATTATGGCAAATCAATTCTTTTGGAAAGCTCGAGCCACCAGTCAACAAAAGGTAAACCAGACTAACTCAAGGCCCCAGTCTGCCTCTTCCTCTCAGGCTGGCAGTGGACAGGGGTCAAGACCCACCACCCCGGGGATTCTGAAGAAGTCTGATAAACCAGGATCAGCTACTTCTGCAAGGAGTGGTAAGTTGTTGTCTTGTTTCATGTAATTAATATAATAAAGGGTTGGTCAGTATTACATAACCACCCAAGCTGTGTCTGTTAATGTTCTTTCTGATAGCAATCAAGACAATTAATTGTTCTGACTTGGATTGTTTGGTCTGTTGTGATTGACAAAAATAGACTCTTGTTTACAGTTTGTTAAATGAATGCCCTGCAGCACAGAAGTAGTACTGTTAATGAAATTTGTTGAAAATTGTGTTTTAAGACAAAATGCAGCATTGCTACTGTAATGTTGGTGTACACTTTTCGTCTTACATTTCATAAACACAGATGTTAGCATTCAGCAGAAATGTTTGCATGGAAATGATGTCATCACCTTGCTGACCTCTGTTAGGGACTGATGATTCATTAAATACTAATATATATGGTCAACTTATATTTTCAGCACATTCTGTCCACTTTGAAAGAGATGAGAGTGGGAACCCCATCCCCTCCAGACCCATAGCTCTAAAGGACGAAATAGAGGAGCAGATATCGAAGGAAGAACCCACAAAGACCCCAGAAGAGAGCATGGATGAAGTGGTGGATGCACAGAAGAGACAGTTGGACAGCTGGTGTTTTGCAGAACACTTTGAGCCTCATGTTCTTCTCCAGGTCTTGCAGAAGGCATCCTACAGCCTGCCCTATGTGGACACCTATTATCACAAGAGGGACCACTCCCTGATGGTGGTGCTGCACAACCCACAAAACAGGGAGATGCAGAACCACACCACCTGGTCTGTTAAACTTCATGCCAATGTAGGATTTAGGTAAATATGCCATCCATGTCATAATGCCATGACTAATCTCTCTGTAGTCTTATTCTAAGTGGTCAGACAAAAAAAAAAAAAAACTTTTTGACCTCACTTCGGGAAGGATGATAGCACCTTCTCATTATAGGTGTAATAATTTCTTTTATTTATAAAATAAGCCATATTCTCTGGTAATATCAGAAGAATTATTATTATTTTAATAGTTATAACCTAGAGCTTTTTAAACATAATTCTTAATTTATTCTCATCCTTTACAAAGAAATTATTTGGAGCATGTTGCACCAGACATAGAGGACTGGCTGAAGGAGGAAGAAGCAGCATACCAGGCCAATCTTCTGGCCAATGAGGTGGAAAAGTTGAGGCTGCAAGATGCTGTGGCAGCCACACCATCCAGTACAAAGAAAGGAAGAGCCAAATCACCTCGAGCTAAATCGCCAAGNCTTTTTGACCTCACTTCGGGAAGGATGATAGCACCTTCCTATTATAGGTATAATGATTTCTTTCAATGTAAAATTTGCCATATTTTCTCATGATATCATTGACAAATGAATTATTATTTTAATAGTTATAACCTAAAGCTTTTTTAACATAATTCTTAATTCATTCTCATTCTTTACAAAGAAATTACTTGGAGCATGTTGCACCAGACATAGAGGACTGGCTGAAAGAGGAAGAGGCGGCATACCAGGCTAATCTTCTGGCCAATGAGGTGGAAAAGTTGAGGCTGCAAGATGCTGCGGCAGCCACACCATCCAGTACAAAGAAAGGAAGAGCCAAATCACCTCGAGCTAAATCGCCAAGTAATTGTGTCATTAGACTGGGATTCGCATTTGTTTTCACAATTGAAATTATTAAAGTTAGATTTGTTGTAAGAACATAGCAAATTTTAAATAAAAATCTGTGTGTGTGCATATATGCTATTGTTAATGTCACTGGGTGTGTGTGGATGTGCACATAAACTAATATAAGTGTGCTGATAAAATTTAACCCGGAACTTGACTGTAGATGTTTGTAAATAACACTGATAATTGATTATCGATCCGTGATTTCTTGTCAAACAAACAATTCTGTTGGCATGTGTGCCAATTTAAATTTTAGGGGCCAGATCAAAGAGTCCCAAAGGATCTCGTGGCAGCAGCACTGAGAGACCAGACTCAGCACAGAGCAATCCATTCATCAGAGCAGGCTCCCTGAAGGCACAGAAGGAGGAGATGGACAGACTGAGGCAGGAGGCAGAGGAGTTAGAGAGGCAGAAGAATGAGAAGAGGATCAAATCTGCACAGAAAAAGGTTAGAAATAAAGTATTCAGAAATTGTCTTGTATTCATCAGTATGACAAATCAAATATTTAGTGTTCTTGAAGGATTTTAAATTGAAGTTTGTATAACCCCTTCCTTTATATTGATTTTTTAACAACTAGTATCAGTTATAATATATGACAATTTTCAAATAGATGTGGATTAGACTGTATAGATATCTACAGTTATTATGGATGGAATTGTATAATGGATGAAATGGCTAATTTTGTGCTTACAGCCTGGCAACCAGCATGTGGAATGGGTAAATTTGATTTTGATATTTTATAACTTAGATTTTTTGTTTTTCTGATTTTCAGCCATCTGTTATATTCTTTTTAGTGGAGTTGCAGCTCTTTTCAAACTTCAGGCTTCAGTACCAGATGTGTGTTTTAAAGGCTTTTTACTTGCATGAGGTGTTTATTTTTTGTCACATATTAAGATATGTGATATGGCTAGTGTGTTAAGATGGTGGTGGGAATCCTTACAGACAAGCTATTTTCATTGTGATTCATGCAAATGTGTATTTGCCAAATGAAAAATATCGTCTAGTATAGCCAGTTACTGATTAATAGAATCAGAACAAAAAAGAACAAATATTATTAGACTGCTTTAATAGGATATAATTAGGACAGGCAAAATGTCAGAGCTTGATAGAAAATGCATTTCTTCACTTATTTTTCAGTAAACACTCTTATGCATGTTCTGTGAAATCTTTGAGTGCTTTTTTTTGGAAAGAGAAATTATCTCTGTTTGTCATTTTCATTTGTTTGACTGCTATAAAGTGTTTGTTACAAGTGTGTTGTTGAGTAAGAATTGTATTTGGTTTTTATGCAAATACATGTATTTCACATTGAAATGAAAATCCAAAATATGTATTAGTACATGTAACAAGGACAATTGCTGGTGGTGGTGGTGATAGTATTTGTATGAGAGAGAGAGAGAGAGAGAGAGAGAG